CTCCTCCCGGCGGTTCGCTACCTTGTTGGCCAGCGCCAGCGGCCGGGTCGGGCGGATGACCGGGGGCCGCTTACTCTGCCGCCACTGCCCGGTGACCCAGCGGGTGACCCAGAGCGGGTAGACGGGCGCCGCCATTTTCTTCCCGCCAGGCCGTGCGGTGAGCGGGGCCCGCCCCCATTCGGGGCGGGGCGGGCTCCGCTCGCAGCAAGCCCTGAGCCGCGAGGCCGCGGTGCGTTCCCGGCGGCCGGCAGCGTCTCTCTGAGGGCGATGACCGCATCCCCCAGGCTGTGACGGTAAATGTCCCCAGGTATGACAGGTAACACAGAAGGCACAGTACTATTTCAAGGGCTGCGGTACCAACAGATGTCTGCACAGTATGAGGTTCAAGGTAGATGTGGAGGGCTGAGGAGTTAAGACATTGAAGCCATCTTATCACCATATCAGGGCTCCTTCAGGCACCACCGATCTGCCTTGTGGTCACAGGAAGAATCGGGTTTCTTCCATAGGAACAATTTTTTGCATAGTAAATTGCTCTGGATGAAAAGGATATATTCAACTTCCTAGCTGTGGACATAAACCCCAAACACACACTCCACTTGCAACTGCCCAGTCAAGGAAGTTAACAAGACATTGGAAATTTGTTACCTTGAATTAAACATCACCAGACCTATACCAGAATATTCTCAGTATCATTACTAGAATTTGCTGCATCTGCAGATTTTATATGCTGGTATGTCTGATTCTATAATTATTTTTGTGTTATTGTTAAAATGGTATTTTCCCAGAGTCCAATTTAAAGAATATGAGAAAACATTTTCAAGTAAACAAAAGATTTCTTTTGGTCCTCTTTAGAAACAAATTTCCACCTCTTTAGGTGCACATTCAAACAGTCTGCCTGGAGGTTCTGAAACATTTTGGTAGAGGGATGTTTCCCTATTTCCATTTTTTGTGATGGGACGGGAAATGAGCTCTCGTTCTAGCTTGGATACCAGCAGAGAAGAAAAACAAGCTGACACCTTCAAATTAGGCTAGAGGGCTAACATCTAAAATCTTGCAAATTCAAGACAGGGAGATGAAGGACTTATCACTATTCCAGTTCATGTGAGGTTCAGCTACTCTTGGTTTTGCCTCTTGTAGTTACCCTTACTGATACCCATTCTTCTCTGCTGCACTTGCCTGCTGCAGTTACTAACTAGACTTGCACAAAAATAATAAAAAAGAAAGATGCAAATACTAAGACGTAAGAGAAGCTGAAATGCACTCCCTGTAAATCAACCTCTTTTTTCCCAAATTACATTAGCTAATGGTGGCAGCACCTTCAGGTACATTCACCTTCAAAAGCTGATCTCTTTTAAGTAATTCCAAGAAAAGCAGGGGGGAGGCTGAGAAAGAGAAAGGCAAGCTACACAAGGAGAATTGTAATAGCTTCCTGTCAGTTACTGCTGTCTGCATTAGAATTTATCTTATTTTGGCTTTCAGCCTGGGATTGGAGCATCAACTTAAAAAAATCCTGAGCAGACAGAATGCCGTGATTTAACCTGGCAGGCAGCTAAACACCACAAGAGCCTGGTGGAGTGGGGGAGAGAATTGGTAGAGAAAGGTCAGAACACTCATGGGTTGAGATAGGAGCAGTTTAATGATTTAAATAAAATAAAATAATAATGTTAACAATAATAGAAACAATAATACAACACACAAAGTCATACTCAGCTCATATAGTGGTCATGAGTTGTGTGTTTCCAGCAGTGAATATTAGATAAGATAATGAACACTGCAAGAACAACAGCTCCAGTGAAAATGAGACGGTCACAACGACCAGAGGAGTAGGCCTCCAGAGCAGAACAACGGGCAAAACCCTCTGCTGATGTCCATGGAGGAAAGAGGCGTCCCTGGCAAACTCCCCAATTTATAATGAGTGTGATGTTTATGGTATGCGACACTTCTATTGGCCAGCCCTGGTTTTCGATCGCAGAATCACGATCCTCCTAGCTTCTGCATTTGGCTAACTCAAAACTGCCAAAGACCTCGATCACTATGGCAGCCTGCATACCAGTGCTGGCCAAAACCAACTTTGTTAAGTCTCGAGTGCTGTAGTCTTCTCAGAAATACAGCTTTCCTGAATAGAAAAATGATTCTATGATTCTGCTCCAGTGAAACCAGGACACAGAATAACATACGTGATGGTGTCTGCAGACACCACACAGAGAAGTCTGATGCACGACACAAACATTGGTTTTAAGGGAGAGTGTGGAACTACAGAAGAGGTGTGTTACCAGATAGCCAAGTCTCTCTATGGTCCATAGTTTGTACAGTGGATAGCACAGATACACTAGTGGATCGGACAGAAGTTCTGAATTTATAGGGACAGTCAGAAACCCAATTCCCTCAACACACTGACAAGTGAACCCCACAGATGCTTCATTGTGAATCCTGAATGTACAGCTACAAAGAACATGCAAAATTCTAACTTCATTTACAACTACTTTACTTGGATTAACATAGTAAAAGCTGAATCCTAGCCTGCGTTTCAGGTAGTCAAAATCAAAATGAACCAGAGATTAAATAGTCTATTTCACAACTGGAATAAGGGCTGGGTATGTGGCTAAATGCTATGCCACAAATACAATGCTAACAACGTTGTAATAAAATACACCCTTAAAATTAGACTGTTGGCCTCAATTACACCATGGATCCTTCTTTTACTGGAGTAACTATGTAAAACTTCCAGACACTGCCTAAAAAACAATTAGGGAATGAGGGTAAGAAATCAGTTGTACTGCAAAAAATGAACAGAGTTGATATCCATGTATTTCTGAGCTGCTTGGATCCAGCTTTCAGGTAAATTGCAGTATGTTCACCCAAGTTTATCCTGATTGCCCAATTCTTCTCACACAACTTCATAATACCCTCACCTACCACAATTTATTCTCAGCTGCCTTACCCTGACCTCCTTAAACTCCAGTTTCATTGGAAATGCCTTAAAAGTTAAGGCAGCCCCACTTTAACTTCAGTAGTGAAACTAACCAGTTTGCTAAGATTCCAGTTGGTTCAGACTTGCTCTTGTCTGCTGAGCTGTTGTTTTTGGACAGCATTAGCACTTAATGCACTTGCATTAGCACAATGACAAATGCCATTTCTTTCCTGACGTCACCCCCAACCCGAACTCCAGTGCTAGCCTACCTCATCCTGAGCTATCAATCAGATCAGCTGCCTTGTATTATTCTGCACACCCGACTAGTCCTGAGCTGCCATCCCCAACTCCCAGATCTACTCAAATCCAGCCCATTTCTACTGCAAATTACCTGATGCCTCCTTATTTGCTCAGAGGTGCCACAAAGTATCATGATCTGATCCATTCCCAGGTCCCCAGAACCATCTCTGTGTGAGACACCAGCATTAGATGGGTCTTTTCTGCAGGAAAGAATATATGTAATGGCATACAAATTAAGATGCCAGTCGTGGAACAAATCCCACGGTTTCCTTCTTCTCCTCCCTTCCCAATTCCTCTGCAGGGCCATGCACCTCTCACTGCCAGCTCTGAGACATTGAATCATAAGAAGTGCAGTTTGTCAAAGCCTGACACAAGCCTTGGCTCAGCTGGTCATATCACTAAAAGGATTTTGTCTCTGATTAATTTCAGCCTGTCAGTAGGAGTCTCTGGGCAGAAGGAAAGAACCTGCCACCCTGTGTGTTTCCGATTAATACAACTTCTCAGAAGGTGCCTGGAGATCCATCAACAACCTTAATTAAATCCAACCAAATGGATGACTGCTCATCATTAAGGGAGTGGCTCTCTTGGGACAATGGCTCAAGAGTGGGTACACAAGGATGGTAAGGGAGGCAGATGGCTACTTGTCTAACAGCAAAGCCTGTTTAAAATGACATGTCCCTGATAGCTGTGTTTCAACTCAATTTATCCCATTCCCAGTCCTTTAGGGGTTACTTGTGCTCCCACACCAGTTAAAACTATCCTCTGTCAAGGTGCAAGAGGAGCATTTCTGCTGTGATTCTCCAGCTGCTGCACTTTGCAGACCATTCCCAGGGAAAGAATCTCATTCTCCTTTCCCTCTAAACATCCACGTCCACTGTTGCTTGGCTCTCATTTCACTTACCATCACAGAAGACCCGGAGATCCTTCAGACTGAAAACTACTGCAGTGACAGAAATAAGAAAAGGCAACTCTTTTTCAGTTCTAGAAATTATCAATGCTAGGTGTCAAATCAATATTCTTCAGTAAGGTGCTTTGCTTCCTAGAAACTGCAGTCCTTGCTAAAGGACAGAAAACCCAGACTACCAGTTCAGCATACAGAATACCCAGCTTTTTACTGAAAAACAGGCAGCAGCTGGTATCACAGTTTTGGCAGGAGAATGAGAACTTTAGCTTGTCCAGTGCAATGAACTGGATTGCTAGATTTTTAACCTTCTGTCAGACATTTGTTTCTCCTCTCTCTCCTCTCGGAGGGCATAAACTTACCCTAGCTTATCAAGTCAATTCTGAGACATAGCATCAGTAGAATGCACTAGTGTTTCATGAGCAGTAATGAGGAGGTATCTATTTTTAGAACATCAATGCTAGTGAATAAAGCTATTCTGATGGCTTTGACATCCTCCCTCTAGTCACACAGTAAGCAGGCAAAATGCCTGACAAGCAGTGAAATGACTCACCCTAGTTAGCAGAAGCCTACCAAAAGGTTTACAAAGGTAATCTCTTCATCATCCACAATATTTGGTAACTTTGCTCAAATTCCCAATTAGTCTTGGTTGTGTGTTTTTATGAGTACTGGCACCTGCATTGTCAGAACTTGTCTAGGAATAATGCTGTATACACTGTTCAGTCTGAGTATCACAGAAGCCCTCCCTCCAGCAGTCACAACATGAGTGATGACATTCGGCCACCATCTAGCTGGTTTGGATTTAAAGCAGTGAAGCGAGAGATCCAGTTAGCAGTCAAGAACAGAAATCAGAAACCTTTTTCCAAAACATTAATAGTTGCTGCAGTGACATTCCTCCTTGTCTGCATTCACATACTTGCATTAGAAGACAACTAGGACTGTAAATTGAATTCACTTTGGCCAAGACTGGCAGCAGTCTTTGGACATTACACAGCAATCCCTTCAAATTCATTATTATGGAAA